AGGACAATGTTATTATTTTATAATATTTTAAAATTCCAAAATAGTACAAGAGACCTGATTTAAGATTTTGAAATTCAAATACCCTAATTTGTCTTTTAAGCATTTTTTAGTATATTTTAGTAGTATTTTTTCTCAAAAAAATTAAAGGAAAAAAAATTTAAAAAAAAACACTTAGAGCTTTACATATAGAAGCTTAAAATTACTTTGTACAGAAATTTTGCCATTAAAGCATGAATTACTTCATTTTACAGAGTTTCATGGGCTGTTGAAAAAAATTCAAACTTCAGAATTAAGTTTTCTGTGGAACCAATTATTTGAATGGCTAAGATACATCGAACATATCAAAATATTTTCTTAGATGCATGCCACATTATAAAATATTTTGTAACGTATCCAGTACTGTAAAGTATTTTTTGGTACATCTAATATCTTAAGGTATTTTTTTAAGTGTGTCCAGCACCCAAGACTATTTTTTGGTACATCCAGTACTAAGGCAAAAAAAATATTTCAGGATGCTTGACGCATCTAGGAAATACTTTAAGCTCTAGATGCATTACAAAATACTTTGAGATGTTGGATGTACTCGAGAAAATACTTTAGAATATTGGATGCACCATAACCCTATTTTAATTGAAGTATATCGACACTGAAGCTTGTATTTTATATACATAAATGAATATAAATTTCAAGCCACTAATTAAAGATGACAGTCGATAAATTACAGTGGGTAAAAATGGTAGGGATTAGTTAAATGTAATATACTATCTCATGTCCTAATTATAAAATCTCATTTATATATTATAAATGAGATCTCATAATTAGAACTAAAGGTAGTACTTTTTTTGTTCTATTTATAAGACAAAGAGGATTTTTTTATCTATCTATAAATCATTTCATTAAATTTTTAACATGAATATATTATTTTATTCTTCATTTAATATAATGTAAATAGTTTTTTTTCCTGAAAAGTGTATATATTATATAGGAATAAAGTTTAAAAGTTGTTATATTTTAATAGAGAGTCAATATAGTTTATTTTTTTTTTTTATTTGTATGAAATATGCTGAAAATGCTTAAAGTAAACCATGGTGGTCAATTAGCTTGTTATTCATAGAAATAATCTCTTGTGATGTTAACAAATCTCCTAAGACGTTAATCAATCTCGATTTGTTCCAAACTAGTTGCACCTTTTTTTTGCCAACAAAAGAACTAGCTGCCCTTCTGTCTTTCTGACAAGCGGTTAATTCTCTCTCTCTCTATATATATATAGTCTGACAAATTTTTTTATCTTATATATATATATATATATATATATATATATATTTATTACATTTTGAAAAGTTACATATGACAATTCGTTCAACAATTATAAACCAAACATTTAGGCCTCCCTTAGTTTAATTTCGCAAAGTTAAAATTTTCGAAAGTTAAAAATTTTTTGGTTGCTTTTGTATTTCTTAAAAAGTTATCCAGTAATTACTTTTCCAAAGGAATATATTATTTTTTTGGTTTAGAAGACAAATATTAGGAAAGTTTCTAATACATGATCACTTATATGATAAGGGTAAGTTTGGGAACTAATAACAGTTTGAAAAAAAAAAAAAACCTTAGATATCAGTTAGTAAGTTAATTTTTTATAATTAGAAAAATTGGGATCCTAACCTTCTGCGGAGTTTTTTTTTAAAAAAAAAATGAACCAAGCAATATTAATCTCACTATTTCCCCAAAAGTTCCGAGTGCTCTTTACTTCCCCCAGCCAAACACTTCCATGTATGAAATAATTTGAGTGGACTTCAATAAATATAATAAAAATCTTTATGTCTTTATATTTCAAAATGCCAAAATTTTATTTTAAATTAAAATTATAAATCAATTTCTTTAAGTTTAATCTCCAACCGAAGAACTGATGCATGAAGGAATTGGCAAATCTTTAACCTTTTGTCTGACTCATTGTCTATGCAATACTTGATTGTTGTATTTAGAAATTACAGAGTGTTTAAGCTACTTAAGAGATAAACTAATTTATGGCGGACAGCTATGTATACCTAATCAAGTCCACTTTACTCAGTAAGATAGGCAACACATGATGATGTTCTTCAAACAATATTTCTTCTTCTTTTTTTTTAATGAAACTTCAAACAATATTTCTCACGATGAGATTAATCTATTTTTAAATTAAACATTTGGTATTTGTTCTTTCCCGTTTTTAAAGGACGTGTAACATTTCAATTGAAGAGAGTTGTTAATTAGGTTGTTGAATTGATAGATGCTCTCATTTGTGATTGAATATTGAATTTAATAGTAATGACTCTTTAAGATTCCCTTAGTCAATGATTGCAATTGTAAAACAATTTTTTTGACCGATAATTTTGCATTTTCCCCCGTTGAGCACCATAAAATATTGAAGGCCGATGACTAATATTTAATTTTCTACACACAAAAAAGCAATAAAATTTCTGGAAGCAACGTATTCCGTTTATTCCAATTAAGTGAAAGATACTGAAAATTTAGTTCTGCAGTCCACTCACCGGAATTTGAATCCAGTCTCCAGTGACTTGAAAGAAACCAAAACGAGAGACCTACATCGAGAGGAGCGGGCTTATGTTTAAGCCCAATCATAGCTTCAGAATTGGGCCTAAAAAGTTTATTAGTTGGGCTTGGTGGGGCGCTCCAGGCCTGTGCGGAGTGCAACGCATGGGCGACGCATGAGGGTCCCAATGGCCCACGTATCAGATATTAAACTGATAAGAACAGATACTACACTTGATCTTAGCCAAAAGGCCGAGAAAGGTATGCTCTTGAACGTCCATTCGTTGTGCTTTTATATTCGCTCAGCGTTTAGACGCTATGCTATCTAATCAATACGGGACTTTGGAGACAGCGGCTGGCAGTGGCATGCACGCGCTCGCATTGGTTCGTGAATTTCATTCCTTGCGTGCTTCCGTACCGTCACCGGAAACTTAATTTACTATGCTTTTTATGCCTTTTTTTTAAAGTTTTTTTGTTTGGGTTCACAATACTACTTTGGTTCTAGATACAAAACTGATTTGAGAATTGATTTTTATACTAAATATAATATTTTAATCTATTTTAATTTTTATATTTATCATTTTTTTTAATTATTTATCCAACTTTAAATTAATATATAATCTAATTAGAAAAATCATTTTATATAAGTTAGAATTAATTGATTTAAGGGAAAATTGCAAATAAAGACCGTGGAATATATAAAATCGCAATTTGGGTCCTTGAATTTATATAATTGCTGTCAGAGACCCGGTCCCAAATAAGAATTATGAAATGTTAGGTAAAAGACAAAAACGCCCTTCTGCTTTTTTGCAGTCCCTTGTCTACATGCCCTAACTTTATCTTTCTTCACTTTCCAAGTCGTCTCCCTCTTTCTTCACTCTCCAACTCGTCTCCCTCTTCTTGATGATGAACCATACAAATCTCTTGAAGAAATTGAGGCTAACACCATTAGAAATCTCCTTCTTGATGAAGATGGTCCATCTTCTGGTGTTTTTGATGACTCAAGTTTCAATAATTTACCAAAACTGGTGATAACCTGGAAGATTTTGATCTGTTTGGCAGTGGTGGAGGTATGGAGCTGGAAGGCGATGAACATCTAACTATAGGAAAAGGGGCCAATGGTCCAGATAAAGATCCTAGTTGCTTCGGACGTCTTAAAGGGAAACTTTCTTTTGTTGAACATTCTTCTAGAACAATTTTTGTTAGAAACATTAACAGCAATGTTGAAGATTCTGAGCTAAAGACTCTCTTTGAGGTGCTTCTTTATTGTTTTACGTTGATAGATGCTATGCTAGAATTCTTAGAAAGTATTTTAGACTTTGAATCTTATAAAAAGTCAATGCAATTTCTTGTTTGTTTTGACAGTAATATGGTGATGTCTAAACCAAGTTTGATAAGTTGTTGAAAATAACAAATTGACAAGTTCTGATACCCACTTCACGACAAGTTCAATAATGCGAATAACAAGTTTAGGAAGGCAAATAACAACTTCTGATAAGCAATTCATAGAAATTCGAGTTTCTGTGTTAAGATGACAGCATTTTCAGATTTCTTTAGCAGATGACAAGTTCTGATACACAATTCATGACAAGTTCAGTAAGGCGAATGACAAGTTTAGTAAGGCGAATGACAACTTCTGATAAGCAATTCATAGAAATTTGAGTTTCTGTGTTAAAATGACAGGTTCTCATTAGGTTTTCATACTTTTTCTGTTAAAATGATTGGATTTTCACATTGATTTATCAAATGACAGGTTCACAATAGAAAATGACAAGTTTCCATAAGATTTTCATACATTTTCATACTGTTTTTGGCTGGAATTGCAATTTGCATATTTCTGACAGCAACAACTTCTGATAAATATGAAATGACAAGTTTATAATGAAAAATGACAAGTTAAGTATGGCAAATGACAAGTTCCCATAATGTTTTCATACATTTTCATACTTTTTCTGTTGGAATTATAATTTGCACATTTCTAACAGCACCCACTTTTGATAAACACGAAATAACAAGTTCATAATGGAAAATAACAAGTTAAGTATGGCAAATGACAAGTTTTCATAATGTTTTCATACATTTTCATACTTTTTCTGCTAGGATCACAATTTGCACATTGCTGATAGCAACCACTTTTGATAAACAGTAAATGACAAGTCTACAATAGCGAATGACAAGTTAAGTATGTAAAATGACAAGTTCCCATAACGTTTCCATACAATTGTAAATTTTTCTGTTAAAATAACAATGTGCAGATTTCTGACAACAAACACTTCTGATAAACAGTAAATTACAAGCCCATAATAGCGAATGATAAGTTAAGTATGTAAAATGATAAGTTCCCATCACGTTTTCATACAATTGTAAATTTTTTTGCTGAAATAACAATGTGTAGATTTCTGACAGTAACCACTTCTGATTAACATCTTTTATCATCAATTTCACCTCTCATTTCCTCCTAATGTATAAAACTATAGCACCAGAACTCTCATAAGCCCCTCAAGAAGCATGCTCATATCAACACCAGCGGCAAATGCACTATGATGATCATATCCACTCACAAGTGCATCCTCAACCATGAAATCCCAAATGTAAATTGTCATATCATATGAACAAGAAACCATCAAATTCTACATATAAGGTGAGAACTTTATTCATTTAGCACTGTATTTAAGGCTCGTTTGTTTCTCACATCCCACACCTTGATCGATTTATCCACCGAAATATAATCATCATACTTGATTTCCACAATTTAGAGCTTTTTTGCAATTATCAGAAGTTGGTGCTGTCAGAAATGTGCAAATTGTAATTCCAGCAGAAAAAGTATGAAAAAGTATGAAAACGTTATGGGAACTTGTCATTTGCCATACTTAACTTGTCATTTTTCATTGTGAACTTGTCATTTCGTGTTTATCAGAAGTGGTTGCTGTCAGAAATGTACAAACTGTATTTCTAGGGAAAAAAAAGTATGAAAATCTTGTGGAAACTTGTCATTTTCTATTGTGAACCTGTCATTTTCATAAATCAATGTGGAAATTCAGTCATTTTAACAGAAAAAGTATGAAAACCTAATGGAACATGTCATTTTAATAGAGAAACTCAAATTTCTATGATTTGCTTATCAGAAGTTGTCATTCGCCTTACTAAACTTGTCATTCGCCTTACTGAACTTGTCATGAATTGTGTATCAAACTTGTCATCTGCTAAAGAAATCTAAAAATGCTGTCATTTTAACACAAAAACTCGAATTTCTATGAATTGCTTATTAGAAGTTGTTATTTTCCTTCCTAAACTTGTTATTCGTCTTACTGAACTTGTCGTGAATTGGGTATCAGAACTTGTCAACTTGTTATTTTCAACAACTTATCAAACTTGTTATTTTCAATTATGAATAGAAGCTGAAAATTAAAATAGAAATGAAGAATAAAAATCCAGATTTGTTGGGTGTTGTCTGAGCACCAAGCAATCATCGCACACTTGCCGTCGTCGCTGCAACCGTCTTCGACTTCAACGCAGAACTCAGTGACAAACTGGAACCCAATTCCTTGTTGAAGCTAGGCTTCAACAATATCCAACGGGAGTCTTGTTGAGCTTAATTATTGTTTCCCTTGGCATCCTTCTTCTAAGTCCTGTTATTCACTTGCTTTGGGAGAAGGAACAAAGAAGATGACAGAGGGAAAAGAGAGAATGAGAGAAGTTGGGAGAGATGGGGTTAAGGACAAGGAAGTGGGACTGGAAAGAAGGAGAAGGAAGGGGAATGAGATGAGGAGGAGGAAAAAGAAGCATGGAGAGAAGGATCGAGGGGAAGAAAAGGAAAGAGAAGGAGATGATAAGATGAAAAAAAGACAAGGAGAAGCAGAAGGATATTTTTGACTTTTAATCAACATTTCATAATTCCTATTTGGGACCAGGTCTTTGACAGCAATTATATAAATTCAAGGACCCAAATTGCGATTTTATATATTCCACGGTCTTTATTTGCAATTTTCCCTTGATTTAATTAATTTTTTTAAGTTATTTAAATTAGTTAAGTAATACTTACATTGACAATTAGAGTGCATATTTTCTAATTGCAGTGCCGTTGGGAATTATTAAAATAATTGTAGACGCACATGCATAGAACATTTGGCTTTCAAATTGACTTGCATGTTCATTCACCCAAAATCAAGCGGCGGAATCTATATTTATTATTTATTTATAAACAATAATTGAGCTCTTTCAGTTGAAAAAAAGGGTGAATATCTCTACCAAGGGATCTCGATTTTCAATTGATGCTTCATGTTATTTTTATTCTTTGTTTACTAACTGTTTTGCTGCGCACTCTCAAGTAATAAAATCACTAAATATGCAATGACATACCGGATACCGTTTATCCTTTATTAACAATTTATTATGGAAAATGGCTAAAAAATAACTGTTGAAATTTGAAATGATAAAATTGGCATGTAAATAACTAAAATCACTAAGTGGGTCTGATGTATCAATTTGGAATTTTGACACTTTGATAGAAAGACTAAAATGCCCTTAAACCTCTTTGAAGATATGAACAGGTGATAACTTTTAATACAAAGTTGTAATTCATATTACAAATATTGTCATTATCATTACCAGGGTAGTGAAATTGGCTCTAAATACATGTTACTTAGGTTTGAAAGAAATTAGTTGTAAATGGCAATAGCGAGATGGTAACTCTCATTACAAAAGTTGTAATTTACATTACAAATGTGGTTATCATTATCAAGGTAGTGAAATTGACTCCAAATACATGTTACTTGGGTTTGAAAGAAATGAGCTGTAAATAGCAATAGCGAGATAATAACTCTCATTAGAAAGTTGTAATTCACATTACAAATGCTGTCATTATCATTATTGGGATAGTGAATTGGCTCCAAATACATGTTATTTAGGTTTGAAATAAACGAGTTGCAAATGGTAATAACAAGATGGCAACTCTCTTACAAAAGTTGTAATTTGCATTACAAATATTGTCATTATCATTACCGGGTTAGTAAAATTGGTTCTAAATACATGTTATTTGGTTTGAAAGAAACGAGTTGTAAATGACAATAGCGAGATGATAACTCTCATTACAAAAATTATAATTCACATTACAAATGTTATCATCATTATTATTAAAGTAGTGAAATTGGCTCCAAATACTTGTCAGGGATATTTTAATCTTTCTACCGAATTGTCAAAATTCCATATTGATACCTCATGCCTATTTGATTATTTCAGTTATTTGTATGCTTATTTTGTCATTTTCTAGTCATTTTTCCAATTTATTATATGAACGTTCTTTTTGTTCGCCGAGAAGAAAGGGAAATATTTGTATAGAAAATAAAAATAAAAAAGAGATAGAACAAGGGACGTGGCAGAAAATATATATACGCGCACACATGCACACTCTGACCATGCACAATCATGCTGCAACAACAAAGCTATATCAACGCCAGAAATTCTCAGAAACTGTGGCAGGTTGAATTCGAAGGGTCAATGATATATTCATCAGCTTCTTTGACCGTAATTTGTTTTCACTATTTTACGGCATAAAAATGAGTACGAAGCATGCGGGTTTGGTTTCAATACGCCGATAGAATTAAATTGAAACCTGATTTTGTGATGGTTTACTGTGTTGGTGATCTTAGGTTCTCAATTTGCTGTACATTAGATATGCTATGGGTCAATATTTGTTGGATCAAAGGCATTACTACCTATAGCTTTTAATACAAGACCAAGTTAACTAATTTAAAAAAAAATAAAATTACTAAATTACTTCAAACTATTTATATTTATTTTTTTAAAAATTAATTTGCATCACTCATAAATTGATATATAAAAGAAGTATTTTGAAAAAAATTATGTAACTTATAATTAGATGATTTAGTAATTTTACTAATCTTTTCAAATTATTAATCTATATTAGGGACGGCAGCACCATTTAAATCTTGCCCAACACTTTACAATTATCCATGGGCTGAAACTGAAACTTCCTTGTGCCCCGGGAAAAAAGTGCCTAACTATCCAGTTGTTTTGAGTTGAGATACATACACACACCAAGTCCAAACTACTCGAACTTTGAAGGGCTTTATTTGATAGGAACTTAAGCCTACATCTTGCACATAATGGGCCCGTTTGAAATAGTTTATAAGTAGCTTATAAATAGTTTTTTAATGGTGATTTATGGAATACAAGACAGGTATGTGAGAGAAGTTCTGTCTCGTCTTACATGAAACGTACTTATAAAGAATTTTTTAAACCCTCCCAAACAGGCCCAATGAAGAAACGATTTTACCTTCTAAATATCTTGGATCATTAGATAGGACATGCAATTTGGTAAAATGACTTGTCAAATAACTGCAGGAAATTCCATTCCACTCGCAACAATCAACTTCGTGTTTCCATGGGGAAAGAATTCCATAATCATCAATGAAACTAGCTTTCAACTTTAGAAGGGTTTCCTTATCTGTTTCAACACAACTCTTCATGTTGGGAATTCCTGCACACATAGAGACGCACAGGGTTGCAATCAAGAAAAAGATATTGGAAGTATGGCTAAACATGTTGATCGTCATGCTTGCAATTCTTTTGAATGATAAAGTGAAGTATAGGTAACGTATATCAGATTAAGTAATCTTCTGGCCTTTTATAGACAATAAGTATCCAAACTATTCCAACTACTCTTTTTTTTCCCACTTGAATTCATAACTATAATTAGTTACATTTGATTACGAACAGTTTCACTTTCATAATTTTGTTTCTCGTAAGTAAAGGATTAATGGTAGACTTTATGATTCTGAAGTCAACCAAACATGTGGTGCAACATAATTTTGGATGCTCTTGAAAATCAATGTTCATGGGATGCCCATAAAATAATTTTAATTTCATAAAAATAATTTTATTTGATATTTTTATATTAAATTTTATTTTTTTGTATCAAACGAGAGAGTGCCCATAAAATTGTCGCACATGTTCAGGTACATTGTTATTTTCAATGTTTTTTTCGGTGTTTACGGTCTCAATTGATTATCACATAATTTTAGCTGGAAAAAAAATACTCTCACATTATAATCTTTTCTAATCTTCTTCGTGGATTATATAATTTCCTTATTCTTAATAATAATAATAATAGTTCTAAAAAATTAATTTGCAGATATCTTGTTTTAATCATCCAATAGTTCAGGACACCCTTTCGTTGTACACTCTCTAAACAAAATACAATTAATTATAACATGATTTTTTTTTAAATAAGTAACTTGGTGATTGATTAGGAATAATATTCTTATTAGAGTTTTTGTGTTACGCATACTCTCTTAAACACACAAGCATAGCATTCTTATTATTAGAATGAGTTAATGCCATATTTTCATTTAAAACATATAAATTAAATTCAAACTATTGGCGTTAAAATTATTTTGAAAATAAAATAAAGATTATACATGCTTACAAAAAATTTTTAAAAAAATTATAATGCATTCAATCGTCAAAGATATCCCCACGATGGTGCATACTAACTTGTAAATTACTATTACTATTGTATCTAAATAAGCAAGATAGAACAGGCACTCGCTGAAATCCTCAAATCCTCAGAAATATACTCAAAACCTCCTTGATTCACGTGCCATAGTGGGTGGGGCAGGACACAACTACTTAATTCTTTTTCTACTGCGTGTGTTAAGTGTAAGAAGAAAACACTTTCTCGAAAAACACTTTCAAAATAATCAAAAAGTATTTTTTTAATTAATAAAAGTTATAAATTATAAATACCTTTTAATCTATGTATCTATGTAACGCATTATATTTACAATTTTTATGAAAATTCTTGAAAGCTTTTTTGCCAATTGGAAAGATTCTCAAAGCTCATCATCTTAATGTGCCCTCTTTATGCTCATTTGCATGCCATGATGAAGAAACTATAGATCATTTAATTTTCGTTTGTCCTTTCTCTAAAGCTGCTTGGGTTGGGACTTTTGGTATCTGAATTGACCTAATCCATTTGTAGGGTGCAATAGTGTAGGTTAGAAACATGATATCATCTCTTCTTGAGAGCACGAACACCCAAATTATGACACAAATCGTCATTTTCCTAAATTTAATTTGTAAGAAGAGGAATCAAGCAGTACACTCAAAGGTTCATTTAATCCTCATTCTATGGTAATGATAGAATTCGAGGGCATTTTCCATTACTTGAGCTCAGCTTGCAAATGGCCAGTTTCAATTCCTTGTTGCTATCCTTTGGATTTGCTAAATGTCAGCTTTCCATCAAATGAACTTTTGCCATGATGGACTACTTGGATCAAAAAGATTAAAAGAAAGAAAACTTCTTTTCTCATCGATATCAATGTTAGGCATTGCGGGGATTTGATTCACCATTTTGTATGGGTAAGGAATCAGGGTACGTACCACATCACCAAATTTTTTCCTCATGTGCCTTCGAAGAATCTGCTCTTGGATTATGACTTACAGTTCCTCAAGGAATTTGCCGCGAGAATTGGTAAAAGCAATTGGCTTCAAGAAACCTTATCAGTTTTATTCTAGTTTTGAACTCTATACTTGAGATAAAAACCTTATTATTTTTGAACTCTAAGACCCCTGTTCTTTAAAATAGAGATTTATTGTGTCATATCTTTTTACTGTTATCATTGTTATTTATTAAAAAAAAAAGAATAACTTTCTTTTTGCTTTTTTTCCTCCTAGTTTCCCACGCAGCCTCAATTCTTAAGAATAACTTACTGATTAGCATCTTTATAATATTGTGGGACCAAAAATCATACAAGGTCTTCTCCCTAAACATTTTTTCTCGATGAAAAGATATATAACAAGTGATTCGTATTATAAATCGGAGGTTAAAAGATGAAAAGGGTACAAATCAATTATCAATTGACACAAGTATCCCCAATCAAAATATAGGAGATAAGAAAATAAATAAAAAACAATTCTTATTATGTTGTGTTTTTTTTTTTTTTTGCCCTTTTTGTGCCAATGGAGCAACAGGGCCAAACATTGTTAACGAGGACGGGAGTTGTTGAACCCCCACCTCACCCTGATGGAATGAGGGAATGGGCTGTGTTTAGTCATTTTTGTTGGAAAAGAAAACATAAGGAGTGATCTAAATAATAATAATAATAATAATTGTTATAAAAAAACAATAACAATGATAATGATATGAAAAGAAATGTAAAAAAAAAAAGTTGATCTTAATTACGTTTTCTTATATATAATGGATCTTTTCCGTCATTCTTGCTTGACTGGAAACAGTGATACAAAAAATTAAATCAGCACACAATTAATTTATTGTGGTTTGGACAAAATGTGTCCAAACACGAAGTAAGGGATTTTTTATTATGTTGGGAAATCACTAAAAATACAAGATATTATGCTACCTTTTATAACTTGCACTGGTGAAGGAACCTCTTTCCCCCTTAAATTTTACATATAGTTGTCTCCATTACAAAGCTAACTCAGACTAAAATTAATAAATAAAAAATGAGGTGCGATAAATGTTTTGTATCATTTTTCAAAATAATTGTAGTACGCTCTGCTTCGTGTCTTCAACTTTTGAAAGCTCTTCTTCATGCTCAGCAATCTACAAGACTCAAATCAATTCACATGATGATATCAATGTCTTGTCATTTTCAACCTTCACAAATTTTGAAAATCTTTGAAATTTTAAGTGAGAATTTTTCATTTTCAAGCAGGTGACTTACAAATATTTTGTCATTGCACTTGTCTATCTGCTTCCTTCAAGAACTTTATTCATCTTCTCATTTCAGCAGCTGGTAGGCTTTCTTTTTTCCCCTTGATCAAGAATAATTACCTGGTCATAATAACAAATTTAAGGAAAGTATATCCAAATTTAAATTAATATAACATGCATAATGAAGTAAATTTCATGGATTAGAGTCAACTGAAAACTTTACTTCTTTAATCATTAATTTTTAACCCGTTTCAAAAGCTTTTACAAAAGGAATCATGAGAAAATTAATCAACGAATAAAATGAGATATAAATAACTCAACATAAAACAAAACAATATTTATAAAAAATTTAAAACAGGTTGAAGTTCACAAATTTGGTCCACCAAACTAAGGCCCAAAATAAGCAATTTTGCTGGGTAAAACATTTTTCCAAAAATAACCAATTAATTTGAAGATATATGAAAAAGCTAAGGCTCTAGTATGACAAATATTTGAAAATTAAGAGAAATAATTTATTGAAGAAATAAAATAGTTATAAGAGCAAGAACACTTATATATGAGAAGATACATGAAGGTCACCGTTATTGCTTTCCTTGGTCTGAGATAAGTGAAGAGAACACTGCCCCTTATGTCATAATATATATGTTTCCTATACTTTTATTTTAAATGGCAAAACAAATTCATAATTCAACAACATTCACAGCTAATATCATAACATTCAAATATTCAACTATGTAAGTTCAAAAGGAACAACTAAAAAGCTAAAAAGAAAAAAAAAATTGAAGCCACATTATATTTATCCAGTACAATCATCCAAAATTTAAATAGATTTAATAAGGAAAAAAAAACTACTAAGAAGCGTTAGCTTTTGCAAACTTGCAATTCCAAGAACCCATGGCTAAGTCTTCACTGAGGATTGGGATTTCAACCATTTCATCCAACCACCTGCATATTTTGGGGGGGAAATCACCACAAATTATGTAATTTATATCCATTTAAAAATAGATGAGCCCATTGGATCATTTAATTTGTTACGCGACATATAGTATATCAAATGATAATCTAATGAAGATTTATACATACCTGTTAGTATTGGAATCTCCTTTTAATTTTGGCCTTGAAAATTACCAAGCGAACATAAATCCAGTCACACATGTTGGTGAAGAATTGAAAATAAGCCGCTCTCCATGAACTTTTAAGGATTAAACTTCCACAAACTCCCCAAAATCCAACAAGAAATCCTAAAACCATAGTGACGTAGTATCCAACAGTTACGAGTTCATCTTTTTCATTTGCGTCATTACTAAGACTTGCCTTGCGATTTGGATCAGTGTCACTATTTCTTGAACATCCTTTTGTGAGTGGCTGGCCACAAAGTCCATGATTTCCTATGTAACTGGAAGCATCAAATGTCTGAAGCTGAGTGGTTTGTGGAATTTCTCCAGATAAGTAGTTGAAAGACAAGTTCAAGAAACTCAAAAAATTCAAAGCCGAGAAGCTTATTGGAATTCCACCAGAAAGAAAGTTACTTGACAAATCAAGTGATTCCAACATTTTCATTTGACCCATGTTTTTAGGAATGAATCCTATCAGGTTGTTTCTCGATAAATTCAAGGATGCCAATGCCACAAGTGATGTTAGGCTACTAGGAATTTCTCCTGTCAGATGATTACCAGAGAGATCAATGGCTGTCATTAGCCCAAGATTCTTGTCATATTTCACAAATTTCCCTTTCCAATTCAACGTTGCATAGTCAATGAAAAATGATGATCCTTGTTGAAAAGCCAAAGTTTCCATACTATAAGAAATGGTATCCCTTGGAAATGTTAAATTTGACAAAGCATTCAAGTTATTGAGGCAATGGGGTATTGTCCCAGTAATATTATTTTGCGAGAGATCTAAAATTTGAAGAAGTGATAACTCGCATAAACTTGTAGGTATATTTCCTTGAAACTGGATTGATTGGAGACGCAAAACAATCAAATTTGGCAAGTAAAGACCAATCCATGTCGGCAACTCTCCATACAAATTATTCTGGCCAAAATCAATGAAGTTCAAAAATAGAGAGTTCATTAAAGATGGTATCTTTCCAGAGAAGCTATTGTTATTTAAATGGATAGTTTCAATAAACTCCAAAGCACCAATCGAAGATGGTATTGCCCCTGAGAAATTATTGTTTGCCAATATCAAAATTGCCAAGTAAGGAAATTGACTCCAACGGTGAGGAAGCTTTCCTGATAGCAAATTACTTGACATGTCAAGATGATGTAATCGAGATTGCAATGTTGCACATAAAGAAGATATGGAGCCTGAGAACATATTATTTGAGAGAAACAAGACTCTTACTTCTTGTGAAAATTGCGGTATGGCACCTGACAAATTGTTGAAGCTAAAATCCCAGACAATTCCAGATTTTGGTAACGACTTTGGCAATTCTCCATAGATTTGATTATGCGAAATATTCAAAAATGACAAATACGGGAATAGCCATATCCATTCAGGAATTGAATCTGAAATTGAGCCATCAGAAATGTCCAATGCCCAAAGCTTCCTTTGATGCTTGAGCCACATTGGAAAGCCAACGCTGAAATTGCATGACCTTGCATAAAATGCTTGCAATTGAAAAGGTGGAACCCATTTGAAACTAAAGTTGAAATAAAGGAAATTGTTAGAGACATCCAAACTTCGCAAGTTGGATAAAGTCGATAGATGTACTTCATTGACCACACCATTGAACTTATTGTCAGACATATATAAGGCTGACAATGATGAAAGTTCATGAAGCTTTGGGAATGGCCCACTCAAATTGTTATGACTTATATCCAAATCTAAAAGATGATGTAAGTGCCCAAGTGATTGTGGAATTGGCCCATTAAGACTAGTATTATGAAGATTTAGTTAGACCAAGGATAAGAATTTCGAAACATCAGGAAATGGCCCACTACTAAATGAATTGTCACTTAAGTCCAATACCTCTATACTATGTTGGGCACAATACGACTGTGGCACCCAATCTCTTAATGGACCAGATAAATTGTTGAAGGATAACAGCAACTCACGCAATGGACATAAATGAGAGATGGCTTCCCCTATATCATTGGTAAGATTATTTTTGGAAAGATCCAAGTGTTCAAGAGAAGTGGTATTTGTAAAGGCGCTTGAAGCAACATGTTGCAAGGATGTTGACGAGAGATCTAGAATTTTAAGAGATTTCATATTTGAAAATGAGCCAGCAGGAATATATTGGAAAGAATTCGAAGAGAGATCAATTTCTACCAACGTTTTGCTAATATTAGTCACCCAATACAAGATTGAAGCGTCAAAGTAATTAGCTCTAAGGCTAAGGCTTGTGAGAGAAGTGGAATAATTATTGGGGACAAGAGATTTAGGATTGACTTGAGGTAGAGCACATGCAGCTAAGCGAAGCTCAAATAGAGAGGAAACTTTTGATAATGATGATTGCCAATCAATAGCTTGACTTAGATTCACGTAAGACAAATCAAGATGCCTCAAAAAGGGAAGTTGGGAAATCCATTTAAGATCATTTATGATCAAATCGTTTCCACTAAGGTCAAGAGTTTCCAAATTAGATAGATTTTGTAGTTGATGATGAATAATGCCAACAAGATCTGCACCTGAAAGTATCAACTCTCTTAATTGAGGAGCTTTTCTTAATAAAGATGACTGCCAACTGATAACTTTACTTAGATCAGCTTCTGACAAATCAAGATGTCTCAAAGAAGAAACGTTAGAAATCCACTCAAGATCAGTTGAAATCAAACCATAATTAAACCCAAGGTCTAGAGTTTCAAGATTAGATAGATTTTGCAATTCATGTGGGATAATACCACCGAGACCAGCATCTGAAAGTATCAACTTTCTTAGTTGGTTAAGAGAACCAATGCATTTTGGAATTTCATTTCCTCCAAAATCGTTAAAGTTGAGATTCAAGTGAGTTAGATGTTGCAAATCACATAGTGAAGAATCGATTTTACCTTCTAAATATCCTAAATAATTCAATGAGACATGCAGCTTAGTGACATGACCTGTCAAAGGATTGCAAGAAACCCCATTCCACTCACAACAATCAACTTCATATTTCCATGAGGAAAGGATTCCATGATCATCAATGAAACTAGCTTTCAACTTCAGAAGAGCCTGCTTATCTGTTTGAGCACAACTCTTCATGTTGGGAATTCCTGCACACATAAAGATGCACAAGGTTGCAATCAAGAAAAAGAGATTGAAAGTACGGCTTAACATGTTGATCACCATGCTTGCAATTCTTTTGAATGATAACGTGAAGTGTAGGTAATGTGTATCAGATTAAGACTTTTATAGACAAATAATATCCAAACTATTCCAACTACTCTCTTTTTGTCCTACTTGAATTCATAACTATAATTGGTCACATTTGATTACAACCAGACATGACAGACTTCATGATTCTGAAATCAACCAAACATATTGGTGCAACATAATATCGGATGCTATTGAAAATCAATGTTCATAGGATGCCCATAAGATAATTTTTATTTCATAAAAATAACTTTATTTTATTATATTAAATTTTATGTTTTTGTATCAAAGGAGAGAGTGCCCATAAAATCGTCGCACATAGTCAAGTACATTGTTATTTTCAATGTTTTTTTTATATTGACTGTCTCACTTGATTATCACATTATTTTAGTTGGAAAGAAAAAAAAAAACCCTCACATGATAATCATTTCTAATCTTCGTGGATTATATAATTTCCTTATTCCTATAATAATAATAATAACAATAGTTCTAAAAAATTAATTTGTAGATATCTTGTTTTAATCATCCAATAGTTCAGGACACTCTTTCGTTGTCCATTCTCTAAATAAAATACAATTAATTATAACATGAATTTTTTTTTAATAACTAACTTGGTGATTGTTAGGAATAATATTGTTATTAGAGTTTTTGTGTTACGCAACTCTCTTAAACATACAAGCATAGCATTCTTATTATTAGAACGAGTTAATGCTATATTTTCATTTAAATCATATGAATTTAATTCAAACTATTGGCATTCAAATTATTTTGAAAATAAAATAAAGATTATATATGCTTGCAAAAAAAATTTTAAAAAAATTCTAATGCATTCAATCGTCAAAAATATCCCCGCAATGATGCATACTAACTAGTAAATTACCATTACTATTGTATCTAAATAAGCAAGATAGAAAAGGCATTTTGCTGAAATCCTCAAATCCTCAGAAATATACTCAAAACCTCCTTGATTCACGTGCCTGTGGGTGGGGCAGACGCACTACCTGTTTCTTTTCTTCTTGCCTGTATCA